TCCTTGGTTTGAACATTGGTCATGGGAATAAATATTTAAGAAAACCATTTAAAAAATTAAGATTGACATCTTTCTAGAAATAGTACATGATGTGTCACATGCCAGATGTTACTGTTGTTCTTGTTTTTGTAAAAATAAATTTTGGCTTCTTCTTAACAGATCTTCTCAACCTATTTAAAGATTTAATTCTACATTATTTCTTCCATTTTGGTTAATTTTCCTCTTAGGGCTTCGTCTGTCTAGAATGTGAGCATAGGTGGGTTTTATGGAGTTCTGAATACATATTAAATGAAATTAGGGATTACACAGGAAAAGTGTAATACAAATCAGCACCTGTTTTTACACACGTGTGGATAGTTGCTGAAATTAATCTGAAAATTGTGTTTTCCTGCAGGTAAAGCACCTACTCATACTGTTGACACATGTGTAACTTCTTAAAGCTTTTAGCTCAAACTGTGCCCTTTCTTACCATCTAAGAAAAAAAGCAAAACAAGTCTTAAAATTATTTAAAGAAATTCTGCCATGTCTGAAATATCCTCAATAGATACATTTCCCCCTGGACAGAATTCAGTTCCATTTGATAGCCAGTGGAATTTACTGAAAGAATGTTTACTGATAGTACAATTGTGTGGCCTGCTAAGCTGTTTCCTTTAGTTAAGTTTAGCCCTATTCTATGGGAACTTTTAGTCACATCATTTGAGCTTATTTCAGGAATGTGCCCCATAAAACGATGAGTGGCTAACGTTATATTTGGCAGGAAAATTCTGAAAAGTACTGGGGTCTCCTTCAGTGAAACAAATGGTTTAATCCTTTCCTTTGTGTTATTGTGGAAGCTCCTCCTCTGAATTTTGAAGGTGAAATCTCCAAGGAGAGCCCTCAACAGAGAGCAGAAGCAGGTGTCTATGCAGCCTCTTTGCCAGGACCTCAGAGACAAGAGACACCCTCTTACAGATGACATCAATTGTTTATTACGTTAAGTAAAAGGTTATCTTTGGGGTTTTTGGTGAAGACTTGGAAAAGGTGTGCTTGTTCTTTTTATAAGCATTATTGATCACAGGAGATGTCCTACGATTAAGTAAACCACACGTCCTTGCCCAAGCTTCTGATGGTCAGCTACCAGAATTTTCAAGATGAGAACCTGGCCATCCATGGGGGCTGTTTGTCCTAGATGTTCTATACACATTATATATATATATAAAGCATTGCTTTTCATGTATATGTTTCCATTTCTTTAATGAAATGCACCTACTTTTGTTTTGACTTTGATTTTTAACAAATTGAACTGTGGGAGATACTTGAGTGACTTTAAAGAGAGCGGAGAAGAACATATCTTTTGTTTTAACCCAAGGCATTTCCTTAAAATAAAAAGTAGTCTGTGTGAAACCAAATTCTGTCCCTGTGTTAGGCTAGCGTTCCTTTCTTAAAATTGACTTCACCAGTGCATCTGGCTTCAATTTTTTACACCCCCCCTCCGCCCCCCACTAAACATCTGAGAAGTTGGCCATTGAATTCTGACATGTTGAATGATTTTAATGAAATCTTCCTCATGTGTATTTGTGCTTGGGGGTTGAGAAGGAGGAAGGAAGGGTAAGCAGTGGGGTGGAGGACGATAAAGAAGCGCCGTCTCTTCACATTAAGGATGATGGATGGCGGTTAACATTAGTATCTCTCAGCGCAAGTTAAACGCTCTGGTGAGTGCTGCTCACCCCAGAGGAAGCGGCTCTCAGCGATTACCCGTTTACCCAAGTGAGTGCCCTCCACTGGCAGGACCAGGGACAGGGTGATGAGTGCGTGGAGCTGTTACCTCCAGTGTCCTTCATGAAGTCTGCCCTGCCCTTCCTTCTGCTGCTGAGAAAAGTTTAATGAGATCCGTCCGTATCAAGTGATCTCTTTTTATGTTACTGTATTACCGAGTCTCTTCTTTTAATTTTAAAGGAGATGTTTGAAGGGAACAAAAAATTAATTTTTAATTGCCGCTGTTCCTTTTTTTTTTTTCTTTTTCCTTTGTTTTTCTTTCTGAACGTTTGATCTGAAGGCCAGGCAGTGGGGAGTAGTCTCACAGCTGGCACAAAGCTGATGTTGACAGAGCTGATGTCAAGAAGCAAAGTTCAGAGGAGGGAAGCAGGGGGATGGGATTATGGGATTTGCCAGCGGGTCCGCCCTGTCTTCTTGTGGAATTGCCTGAGCAAAGTTACAGCTGTCGCAGCTTGTGCCTAATCTTGTGTGAGTGTAGGAGGCTTGCTGTTTAAGGAATTCTTCAGTAGCGTCTCTTCTTTCTCCCTCTCCCATCTCCAACCACCCCCCCCACCCCCCCCAACTAATCACAGAAACCTCCTCCTCCAACCCTTTACTCTATGAATGAAGGGGCCGCACTGGATCCCCGCTAGTAAGGAGAGCTGGCATAACAGCAGGCCACAGTGCCTAATCCAGAGCCAGAGAACTGGCCTGTGTTAGTATTGATGAGCGTACACATCATCTATAGCAGCTGACATAAAATTCTACAGGTACCATACAGGTACCGCTTTCATCTGAAGTGACAGCAGCTGCTTAAAATGGTAACGCGTGTTCCTTTACTGTCTCCACCTGGCTCTTTCCTGAGTTGTCTGTAGCGCACAGGACATGTCTTAAGTTTAGGATTGCACGGATCAGTTCAACCATGTGAAAAGTCAGTTTGAGAGCCAGTGAATGTACATCTCTTTCTCTGCTTAGCTTCCCTGACCCCAGGCTGCCAGTTTCATATTTTTCTTCCAGATAGTGAATGCTAAAAAGTCGATTAACTCCAAACAGGACAAATCAGCCCTCTTTTTGTAGTTTCCAATCAGATTTGTTTTTGGCTGAATTTTGTGACTTCCTCCTGTCTGCCTAAAGAGTAGATAGACTTTATGCTGAAAATTCATGAGGGATCAGGAGATTACAGAGGGCAGTACCTAGGGGGAGTCAACAAGACTCTGAATATTTCATTCTCGTACTTTCTTTAAAAAATGGGTCCATTTCCCAAAGAAAGGAACTTCACTGAAATGTGGAGGACGAAGGAGCCCAGCATGCTACAGTCCATAAGTTGGCAAAGGGTCAGACACGACTTAGTGACTGAGCAACAGCAACTTATTAATAAACCTCTGTTGTATAGCTATCTAGACAGTGACCCAGTAGTTTTTTTTTTTTAGTTGAACTATGATTGGCATATTGTTGTGTATTCCTAGGACTGAACTGTCATTGAATTAAGTTGGATTACTCTATTTTTTACCATAACCACAACACCTCATTAGAACTCAAGCCAATTGCAGTTTTTCTTCTAAATCTTGACAGAATGCATATTTTGCTAATCTCATATCCAATGATATGCTGGTATATAACTCAGTTTTATGAAGTCTTCTGCCTTTCACAATTTCAGTGTTTGGATTTCATTTTAATTTAGTGTTGTTTGGTTTCCACACTAAAATAATCTCCTGACCAAAGCTGTCTTTTCAGTAAGGGCTCTGTTGTCCAAACTGTTAGATTTCTCTCAGAAGCACGTTTGATAATCTCTGTCTTCATTCTTCATTGCTTCATTAGTAATCCACTTTTCTTATACTGGAGCCATATTCTTGGGTACCATGAAAACTGTCTTCCAAGATGGCCCCAGAGCATCCTCACCTTTTGGTTCTCAGGCCCTTGTGTAGCCTTGTGTCAGGGTCAGCCCTCGTGTATAGTAGAAAGTGTCAGAAATGACAGCATGTGACTTCTGAAGCTGGAACAAGAGACATGGACTCCCTGCCCTCCTGGGTCACCTGCTCTGAGGAATGCCAGGCACCATGGGGAGAGGAGCCTCAGAGGCCCTTTGCCAGCGGTCATCACCAACTTGCCCCCATGTATGGGGGAGCAGAGGGCTGAACCCTGGCTGACATCTCAGCTGTCCCCCATCAGAGAACCTGGAGCCAGAGCTGTTAGGTTAAACTGCTCCTGGCCCACAGAAACTGTGTAGACAGACAATTTGTTCTCCATTATTATAAGCTGCCAAGTGTTGCAGTAACTTGTTATAGAACAATAAATAAAAAATAAGCACTTTATATCCTAGGTATTAAAGTGATCCACCACAAACCTGAATTCTTTTTCCTTGCAATTCACAGTTTGGTCTTCTCTATTGGTAGAAGAGTAAGTGCTATTTGAATTTGTTAATGTTACCATTGCAGTAATTTTCAGTCACTTGTTAGAGCTTTGGACAGTGTTTGCCGTAAGAATTCTCAGCTAGTAATTCATATTTGTGTGTAATAAGCTATGTTTGCCTTTCTGATAGAAATCCATATTTACCTCCCCAAAACTTCCTTCTTAGTTTGTATAGATTATCAGGGCTAGTGGTTTTGGTTGGCTAACCAAATTACTCATCTTTAGCCAGACCAGTTACCTACATCCAGTTATCATTTGTAGTTTTTTTGTATGAGATTGAGAAAAATCTTTGCTCTATTGAATTCATTAGGGAAAAAAATCTTCTTCATTTCTTTCTTTTAGAAATTAGTTTGTCAACAGTATGTATGTAGAATATAATCTGTATGTAGAATGTAATCTGACTGATCATGCTGTTTACTTAACTTTTTTCATCTAGGCTTAACTTCAGAGGGAAAGAGAATGTTTTGCTATTGAGTCTTATTACTTAGGCTTCATCAAAGCTGGCCTTGAACCCAGTTTAGAGAGTAGTTCAAAAACAGCTTTGTGCTTTTACCTAATCAAGCCCTATCTACCTGTCTGCCTAACACAGTATTCTTCTGTCTGTCGATGGAGAAAGTCCATCACAGGTTTCTCTTGCTTAATTCACTTGACGCTTTGCTTTCAATAACAATATACTTCTTGAGCTTCTTTACTCTTTCTTCCCTTTTGTTACTCTCTCTTTGTGTCCACATCTTTCTGTCCTAGATTTACGTCTGAAGGGAAGAACATTTTATCAGTAGATAGCCCTTTTCTTGATAAATAGGCTCTCTTTGGTTAACCAATTAGCCTCCTTCACCGAGTCTTCCATCGTTTTCCAGGACAGTCTCCGTAAGAAGGATGACAGGATTGAAGAGCTGGAAGAAGCCCTAAGAGAGAGTGTGCAGATAACCGCAGAGCGAGAGATGGTGCTGGCGCAGGAGGAGTCAGCCAGGACCAGTGCTGAGAAACAGGTCTGCGATTCTGTGCAGTTACAGGCCATGCTGCTGGGTAAAGGAAAGGTAAAACCCAACCAGTGTAGTCTAGGTGAACTGTACATAACATGTGTTCGCAGGGTTTCAAATACGCATCATCAAGTGTAAGTATTCAGACTTAAATAAGCATTGAAATACAGTCGTGTGAGAATTGATTCATGTTCATGCAGAGGTCTCTGCTCTAAGTGTCTGGGGCTGACTTGTGTATATTGATGTGTATGTAGACACATACATCTGATGAGATGAAATGGAATTTGCCTGTTTGTTACCAGACTAAGCACAACTCTGCTTTTAAATGGGATGGGAACACATACACATTTCTGAGTCAGACATGTTGATTCAAAGAGCAGAAAGTTTCTTTTGTAGTCTGTCTTGTCCACAGGAGCAGTTAAAAGTTGTAGCAAGTTGAGGTTGATGACAGGTGTGAGGGACATAGGTGTCATGACACCTGGAGTCCCAGATCAGCATGTCTCCACCTCAAGGTGACTTGGTAAAGAATTCTGCTGCTCTCAGTGTTGTTTCCATCTCTTTGTTGGAGAAACACAAGTGCTAAACCAGGCGAAAAGTGTCCACTGAGAGGGTAATGTGAATCTTTGGGGGAGCCCTTTGCTCAGACCACCATGGCTCTTTATGAACTAGGGTAGCTCATAGCCGGAAAGAAGGGCGCCTTGCAAAGCAGACATGTCATGGTGTCCACCAGGCAGTCCCCTCATATGTTGGACACAGGCATGTGGCTTCTTTAGTGTCAAGTGTAGAAAGACTGACATTTACTAGCAAAGTTGACGGAAAATCAGTCTTTCCAGAATGAGTTTCTTTTAGCGCCCTATTCTTATATAAATGCCGTGGTCCACTTTCTATTTGAGTATTTATTAGTGTACTATTAAACAGGTCCTGGGGTAGTGGAGAGCCTCAGAGAAGGGAGTGGTGTCAGCCATTGTCCCAGGGCAAGGAGGGATTTTCTTGGGTATTACCTTTTTTACATTCTTCCCTTTTCTTTTCAGAATGTTCCCCCCGCCCCTGGTTGTTTGGTTGGTTGGTTGGTTGGTTTTCCTATCAAGATTTTTTTTCTGCTTTGGGATCATTATTTAGTGACAAGTCTTCCACACCAGGGGCTTCCCCTGGGGGCTCAGATGATAAAGAATCCGCCTGCAGTGCAGGAGATGTGGGTTCAATCTCTGGGCTGGGAAGATTCCCAGGAGAAAGAAATGGCAACCCATTCCAGTATTCATGCCTGGGAAATCCCGTGGACAGAGGAGCCTGGCAAGTTATATAGTCGCAAGAGTCAAACATAACTTAGTGACTAAACAACTTTTGTACCAAAGATCTTGTAGAAATGTTGGCAGTTAGTAATAAATCATGTATAAAGACCACTGTTACATGTTCTTTTTTAGGCTACTGTGTGAGCTGCTTGTAATTTGCTTTCTGGGGCTGATTGATAATTAGATCAGTTTTTTAGTTTAGAGAGACGTTGAGCAACACACAGAGAGTTTCCACATCCGCCTTCCTAAACCTCAGTTTCCATTTCTGTTAACATCTTGTGTTGATGTGATGCAGTTGTTAAAATTGATGGGCCAGTATTGATACTTTATTAACTAGTCCATAGGTTACATCTTGGATCACTGTCTCTGTTACACGTGTTACAGGTTTTACTGAGTCCTTAATGGCATGTATCCATCATCACAGGGTCCTACAAAGTAGATTCAGTCCCTAAAAATTCCCCACGCCCTTCCGCTTCATCCTTCCCCCTACGTCCCCGCTCCCTAATCTTTTTCCTGTAGCCTTTTCTGACTGGATTCTTTCCTTCAGCCTCTGCATTGAAAGTTACCCCACATCTTTTTGTGGTCTGAGAGCTTATTTTGTTTTTTCTCTGAATATATTCCACTACATGGATGTGTCACAGTTTTCTTATTCCTTCACCTATTGAATAACACCTTGGTTGCTTCCAGTGTTTTGCCAGTTGTGAATAAAGCTGCAGTAAACATCCATGGTTTCTGTATGGACATCAGTTTTCAACTCATCTAGGTAAATACCTGGGAGTGTGATTGCTAGATTGTAGGGAAGACTATATTGAGCTTTGTAAGAAACTGAAAATATCTTTTGAAGTGGTTGTAAATAATTTGCTTTTAATTGCATGCCTTTTTCTTTCTCTCTTTCTTATTTATCTTCTTTCCACCATTTTGCTTCTCACTGCCTGTCTGAAGCTGTTCAGTGAAATATTGCATGAGACCCGTCATTTGGGCTTTAAGTGGTTTAAGGTATGAAGACACCACTTTTATGTCTGTTCTTCTGGACCTCATAACCCTCATCCACTGTCCTCCAGCTTTCATCACCTGTCCTTTTTTTTTTTAATCTGTCTTTTACTCCTACTGTTAATTTGCCTGAATGTATTAATTGTATGCACCAAAGTAATTTACAAGTATTTGTTTGAAATATCTTAAAATGGCTTTTTTGGCTAGGGACATTCTGTTGGGTTGGCCAAAAAGTTCGTTTGGTTTTAAGTACAAATAAAAGGGCTACGTTTCATTTTCACCAAGAACTGTATCAAAGAACGTATTCCCTAACCGAACAAACTTTTTGGTCAGCCCCAGTGCTCATTATCTTCCTCAGGTCCAGCGTCTCTGTCTCTTGCCTCAATTTAGCCTCTGACAAGAAATGCCCCTCCTGATAGAAGGAGGATATGTGCATCTTGAATTTCTCAAGGAGCAATGAGAAATTGGGAACCGTCTCTCTCATTAAAACAAAATACAGAACCTTTTAAAGCATGAACAGAGGAAACCCATCAAAGGAAGATGATCCTTCCGCCTTTCCTGGGTTCTTACAGGACCCCCTTACTTACCTGTGTTCCTGCTACTTGCTGCCCTACGTGGAGACCACGCCTCAAATTAGGGAGGTGGGGCGATGATCCAGGAAAGGAAAACCTCCCCTCACCTGTGTCTGCAGATGAAGAGGATGAAGGGAATCATTCTGAGGGGGAAACTCAGGGGGTCCTCTCACCTTCGCTTTGTTCTCTTTCACACGGTTTTCTTCTGTGAAACATCACTCTACTCAACTTGTGGCAGATTTTGTGTTTTGTTCAATTCGAGAGTCTACGAGCACAGAGTAAAAAATTGCTCTCTTGTAAACCAGTTTCAGAGTTGCCAGGGGGTAGAAGCAATGTCTGCCTTCAGCAGTGTTACTGTGAAGTTAAAATTTTGGACATGGTTTTGTTTTTGTTTTATAGTGCTTGAATGTTGTAATATCTTTGCTGGTATTCTTCCAGAGTGAATTTATTTTCTGAAAGAGCACATTGCTAACTAAAGGTTAAAGAACGCCTCTAAAAAGCAAGACTTTTTCCTTGTCACTCAGTAAGGTGGGTTTATATCTGTTCCTAAAGTATATTTTTTAATATTTTGAACAATGAAAAGATCTACTCTCAACATGACTAATGTGCACGAGTTCTGAGTTTTACTTTTTTTTAAATCCCTTTGTCTTTTTTGGGGGGAGTATAATTGCTTTACAATGTTGTGATATGTAGCAGTGCAGTTTGTGTGATACATAGCAATGCTATACAACCACGTGACTTGGCTATATGTATACACCTATCCTCTTGGACCCGCCCCCCCATCCCATTCCCATCCCCATCCTCTCCCGTCCCACCCATCTAGGTCATCACAGAGCACCAAGGTGAGCTTACTGTGCTATATAATGGCTTCTCACTAGCTGTTTTACACATGGTAGTGTATATATGTCAGTACTACCTGTTTTAGTTTCAAAGCTCATTTTTAACAGCAGTATTCTTTTTTTTTTCAAATTGCCATTTTGCCATTGTTTGGCATGTATATTAAATGTAAATTCTTGACCTAGAAGATAATGAGGTTTTACCAATGGTTTGCTAGATATCTTTTTTTATTTTTAACACAGATTTTTTTAAAAATCTTATTTGTGTATTGAAATTGTGCAAATTTTAAAAGTTATTTGAACTAAGAAGTGACACTTGACTGAAGTGCGTTTTACAGCCTGCAGGACACCTTGGGCCAGTGTCGTCTCCACTCCAGGTCTCCCTGTTATCCCCCGTAGGTGCTCCCTTCAGCTTGCAAGTCCTCTTCCTTCCTGGTCAGCCAGGCCGGCAGAAGGGAGAGGCAAGCGCACCTCCTTGCCAGTAGTTTTTGGTTCTTTGATGTGAAAATGAGCAGCACAGTCTCTTAAATGTGATACAGCTTCCTTTTGTGGATTGCCTGGTGTGTGCGGGCAGCACACGCCTCATTGCAACTCGCCTGCTTGCTTTGCTTGCTTGTTGTCGCTTCTCAAGGCAGTAAACTTTTCTCTGTGGTTCTGTCTTCCTCGCTGGTTGTCAGGTACGATTGCAGAGGAAGTGGCGCTGGGCGCAGGCGGGTGGGGTCTGCAGAGTGGCTGCCACCGGGTGTCATCTTTTTATTCTTAGGGTCTTATTGAATCCCCTACAGCTGCGAGTCGGCCCAGTCAGTTTCAGAGCAGTTATCACCGTGATACGGCGAGCACTGTTTCACACGGGCCAGGCAGCACCATGAAACAGGACTGGTAGCCGGGCGGCCCGGAGAAGACCGTGTGGCAACAGGCCTGTAACTGGACTCCCCAGCCTTCCCATCACCTTCTTTCAGCTGCTGCCAAAATGGACAGCTTGTAGTCTGGTTTTATAAACCTAATCCTGTACTGATCTGAGTATTTATAGCAAATTATATTTTCCCATTTTTAAATTGACAGTCATGCTCAGAAAATAAAATACTTTCACTTATGCTGCCTTTTCCATAAGCGTTTATTGAATACCATATATTTTTCCAGATACTGAGCATTGAAAACAAGAAGGTATGGGATACAGCCTGTGCCTCAGGAAGTTCACGTTTATTGGGAAGGACTGGAGAATGGACCTGTCTTTAATCATGGTTCTGTTTGTAAGTGCCACTGGTCAGGATCTGAACAGAGGGCTTTACAAATAGAAGAGGAATGGCCACTCTCACCTTCTG